AGCTGTGCCTCTTAAAGTAACAAAGCCGTGTAGATTACACTGCTCATCCAGACTGATTCAAGTTGATCCAGTTTCGGTATAGCAAGTGCGGTCATTAATGATATGATGCAGCCTCTCATTATCAAAACTCACTAAAGCAGTTTTGGATAGATGATTACTGATGTTGAGCTCTCCTCATATTTTTCTACATTTCAGTCTAGAAGTGCCCTCTTACTACTCGGCACATTTTGATCATTCTTCCTCGACTAAGGGAAGAAAGCCTGGCGAAGCCAGGTCGATCCGGCGAAGCCAGGGCCGTGACATAGAAGGAGGAGCGCCCAGCGGCAGCTATGCGATCCGACTGGTGTTACAATAACGCGGGCGGGTCTGTCGGGCGGAACCAGTAAATACTTTGGACGAACGTTGCAAGTCAGAACGCAGCAAGTCGAAGGGATTAGCGCTTTTCTGTTTCTTTTTTTACTGCACGTGTTATCAGGTAGGGGGTGATGAACAGGTAGGGGGTGATGAACTTCTGTTCTGGTGTGTTCCTTGCCATGTGCGAGGTGAGTGAACGCAGCTGTAGTAATGTGCTATTTTCTCCGATCGAAGTACACGCGAACGGGAATGGACGATAATAATACGCCTCCTCGACTCTGCGCATACTGGTGCATGACCAGCCACACGCTGCGCCTTGATGATAGCTTTAGCGGAGTAAGGAGACAGCACCAGTATACCATCACATCTTGCACTTCACTGGTTTACTGTCTCACACTGGTGGAACCTCTAAAGTTTTGTGAAGCTGGAGCAAGCTCTTAAAACCAATATGTTAAACCCTGTTTTTGGTTGCGATGTCTAACAAGGAAAAGGTCGATCTGCGTCCTGGCACTCCCACTGTAGAAGCTGATGAGGTGGGAGTCACATTTACGAAACTTTGTATTCACGATGATCAGATCTTGGGCTTCCGCTTACTCGAGAATCGCCATTGACTTTTCGTGGCCCATAACTGAAACCACTGGGCCAACTGCAGCCATCTTTGGTTGCGCCAAACGTGCCCATTTAGGTCACCAGCGACAATGAGGACGATGGTATTTCAGCTGTCTTCCTTTCAAGCATACCAGAACTTGTCCTTCGGTCACGTTTATGAAGCCCACGCAGAAAAGTGGTGGTACGGAAGTTGCTCGACAGCAACAATAGTCTTCATTAAGCAATCATCAAAGCGCTTTCTGCATCGAAATGGTGGATTCTACCTGTCAACCAAATTATCATTGAGGCAACTGATTTTCATGCTGAATTATTCAGAATGATGGTAACTCTCACGACATACAGTGATTTGAGCAATCTGGAGTATCTTGTAAGCGGATCAACCTATGAACGTGATAAGCAAGATCTCAATCAGTTGAAAGAGTAAGTTTGGGTGAATCCTTTTCTACGTGATTCTCGATGTACGACGACGCAATGAAGCGAGAAAAATCAACTATCAAAATAAATTTTCCCAGCCCAAATACGACCCCCCACCTCTTCTGGCGGCCAATACGACCCCCTATTGGGGATTCCCCATAGACACCGTGCGGCATCTATCTCAGGCCCAGTGGCCTGAGATAGATGCCGCACGGTGCTGCCGCTCGAACATTTCTCACGCGCGAACTTGAACACACGAAAAAGTGTTGGAGCGCGATATACCGTGCACTGCGTAGTGTGAACATACAAAGCGTCCAAGTTTCATTCGGTTTCTTACAGTTCCTCTAGCTGGATGGTGTTCAGTGCTGGAAAGTTGAAAAGTCAAGTAAGGCACTGGTTCCCTTCCACGTACTCTCCGGTACTCGTACTGCTTGGGAAACGAAATGCACTTCAAAAGCATCTGAAAAGCATCTGAAAAGGCGGAAAGACAACAAATTGTGAAAGGGGAGGTCCTGGGAAGGGGGGGGGCAAACAGAATCGACCAAAACCCCCAATGCATGATGTGTCCCTGTTTGCAGGAAAACTTTGCTGCATGCTAAGCAAGACATTTTTATCACCGTTACGAACTACTTCTTTCAAAGCACGCTCAGGGTTCGAAAATGAGGACGTGTATGACCAGATTATAATGACAAGTTACATAGTAAGTGATCCAGCAAAGAAGAAAAAAAAGCAGAAAAAACCAGCCGGAAATCCCCATAGAGACCCTCGCTGAACCGTGCTTATGTATACAAAGCGAAAATAGCGGTGTCGGACGAGATCTCAGTTGCTGGCGTCAGTTCTTGCTCTTATCACCTCACTCTCATACTTCGAACGTGAGCGAATTTGTAGCGGATCAACTGTACCATCAGGCAGCAAGTAAGAATGAAAGGGCGTTTACACAGTCAGTTGGTGGGCCCTGGTTCCGCCTCGAGCAGGCAAAGGTTTCCTGCGTAAGGTGTGAAACCATCGAAAAACAAATGTTCAACGGGGCGTGCCTTTGAGGAGCCCGAAGAAGGGAGAAAGCACCACTCAGCAGCAAGTTGTTTGCAGCTGCTGCTCCGACCATGACCAATTGTAAGCAGCTTCGGACTATTTGTTATGCCGGTTTTGGCAGGAGTGACCTTGAGCGTTTTAAGCCTCAATCTGGACGCTTAGATAACGGATTTCGTAGGAGAAACGTGTGCTCATGGGCGCAGTATTCTCCCCTGTGAGGTGTATTTAGCGTGTACGAACGGTCAACTATCGTGACCACTACCTCTGAAGACAAAAAATGTGTCGTTTGAGAGCCACAGCAGCAGTACCATCACCCTTCTGTCAGTGATGCTGGAGCCACTGCCTGTAGGCCCGTGCCCTCTCTTGCCCTCAACTGTACAAGAATTTCTTCGTATCGTTGATTGGTAGCAACATAAAAGCAATTTTTGCAGAGTGATAAGGTCCCTCGAAGTGCATATACATACTACACTAGTCGATCAGATGCGTGCTATCATACTATCAGAGGTCGAATTCGTCGCTCTACTAGGGCTCAGCCTCTGGTCGCCAAGTAAGTGAAACCAGTCGGGACAAATCAATCGGTAACAAACACGCTTAATGTCAGTGTTAGAAGAAGCCAAATGAGGCAAACATAACCTTCTACTGTCGAGGAGCTAGATGGAGAGTATCCAGCGAGCCCCGATAGCGCGTGTGGCCTTATGTGCTCTTGGGTGGAAATGTTCTATCTCGATCAGAGGGTGCAGGAAAGACATCCCCTCTCTCATGCGCAGTGCACTAAAACGGAATCAAAAGTTATTTGATCACTATGCCACGCTCAAACTTCGCGATGATGCGCTCTTTCTTCTCCTGAGAACTGGTTTTATTTTTGCCGTTTTTTTTTGAAGGCCCAGCCTGGAGCCAAACGCTGGAAAATTTGGCAGTACTTCACATGATATCTCTGAAAGGATCCGGTATCTATTGCCGTTTCCTTGAGGATCTAGTCACAGCGCTATTAACTTTAGTCAGCGTGTACCGTGATAACGATACTTGACAGTTTTCACTGTTTCTGACTTTAACCTTCAGTATCAGGGTGCTCAATGGTGAAAGATGTTTCATCATGCATGTTGCACCTCATGAAGTGAAATGAAATGAAAAAAATTCGTAATCGGGTATGTGAGAACAATATAAAGGTGTAACATGCATGACGGCACATCAAATGCGATTAACTATTTCGAGATTGAATGTAAAAGTCAAAGGAGGAGGGGAAGATGTCGTTAAATAAATAGGTGGAAGAAATTGCTATACTATGGTAGGCCGTAATTATGGTCTTCACTGAGACACGGAGGTTCCTTTATTATGGAGTTGTGTTTTCTTTGCCGCACGAGCGGTCTGTGTTGAATCCTACGCTGTACAATTGTACGGTGGTACTGTTTGTCAAGATACGTAGTGTACTGAAGGCTAATTGGATGAGGTGGCTCACTCGCCCTCTCACGTCTCCCACATTAAGCGGTGCCGAAGTGAGCGTGTCCGTAAATTCTAAAAATTAATATCGTCAGTGATCAGCTGCCGCTATGGATGTATACGTCAACAATTACATTGAATTATGATATACTGGGGGATAACACCCTATGGGTCAAGGTCTACTTGAAGATGGGGCGTTGCTTTACGATCGGAATCCATGTGACCGATTCTCGAGCTTGAGTTTGGAAGATCAGAAATAACGTGGTGTATTGAATTAGGACTATCAGGAGAGTCTGCTAGTCCATCGGTGTATTGATAGCTCGCCCAGGTGGCAGGCGTTGCCCTCTATTACTGAACTCAAGAGATGTCTCTGTTATCAGACTGAGCAACATAGATTGACTCTGGGAAATTAAGTAATTAAGGTCAGCCGGGGGTGAGCGGTTGAGGACTGGGAGGTGACCCTGTTGTGGGTAGGACATGAGCGACGTGAGCGGAACCAAACTAAGATGGGTTGAGAAGCGGAGACGCGGCAGGTCGCAGGGCGGGGCTGTGGCGAGATGAAGGCACTTGCGAAAGTGTGCGAAAGCGTGCTGTAGGTAGGAGAGTGATGTGGGAGCGACACACTCGGAGTGGACGAACAGAGGTGGGTGGGGGGGGGCAAAGTTCAAAAGAACAACATCTGGAGAGAGTTGGTCATATCTGGAAGTGTTGTACCTGCCCACGGGGGACGAAGCATGCCTATGAGCACGAGGCACTTATATTTCCACTGAATGTTAGTGCATAGGCAGCCACGACGCGGGCCTCATTCTCTGACCCGAAATCTTGGCCTTTGGCCCATTTTATTTTTTTTTCTAAAGGGAGAGTCCGCCAACTTTATCAGTTATTGTTCTTGAAACCGTTGTTCTACACTGTATCACTGGTTTAAGAGATGTACGAAAAATGGACAACTACGCAGCTCGACTTGGTGATATCATGTGCTTATTCGTCGAGACCCAGGTAACCTGGCAGAAACCATTGAGAAACCGGCACGACACGTTTGTTTCTTGAGGGCACATTTCCGAAATCGAATGGCGGAGACCCACACTATTGTGTCTTATTTATTGCTCTGCCTTACTCCTCACCGTAATAGAGGAAACGACGTACAAATTACGAAGGTGGAGTGCTTTAGAGTCTCCGCCCACCCGACCATCGCGGGATAGGTCTCTGATTACACACCTTTAGACGAGGAGCTAGGTTTTGACCTTGACCATTTATGAGTCTATACACATCATTATAAACACTATGTACGTGGGAACAACTATGTTTCGCTTAAGTATTACTTTCCAGATGATTGGTACTCGAATAGGCGAAGACGTTGAACTTCTGAGGCTGTTTAACATGTACAAGGTCGACAGCTACGTGTACGATTGCCTTAATGGGAGAATGTAACAGATTGTGAATCATTCATCAATGTTCTTACTCTGCTGAAAGTGATCTCGAAGTGTTATGAGACAGTTTTACATCCGAGAAACGCGTCATCATGAAACGGCTTGTCAGCAGAGCTTAGCATTATCGACACGCCTTGGATCCAGGGCGTGAGCACAAAAAACCAAGCACGCTTGAACAAAAATACACTTATATCAAAAATACCCCTCCTTCCCTAAGATAGCTGGGAACTGAAAAGCTAAAGGCATTTAGTTCTGCAGTAGGATAACGAAGCACACAACCTCGCCACAGGTAATGAATTTCTTATTTTCATGACTTTTTCTTGGGTGCATCTCCTTTATCGCCATACCATTAGGTATCTCTGTCGGCCAAGCTCTGATCAACCAAGCTGTGGCAAACATGCCAGGATGTCCTATAAAATTGATGAAATGCTATGATTCAAAATGACCCCCTCACTCCAGAAGAGAGTACGGAGAAACGACGATTAGTGAGTGAGTGTGCATTATCCTGAGCAAGAAGGAGTTCACGGAAGAGCGAACCTCATTCATCTGGCTGGAATAGGCCCTGCAACGGCAATTTTCGAAAGGGACAGACCTTTACAGAAGAGAACAAAAGCTTACACCGCTTCACATTTATGTGTGGAACTTCAGTCATTATAGGTAACCATGAAACTTTTTTCGCACTGCCTAACGGGCTGATGGATACCCTGGACATATACTTCGAACATTGATCTCCCTACATTTATCTTCTGAATCCTCACAAGTTACGTGTCCGGAATCTCAGGGCGAGTGATTTTCAGGTTGACGCGTAGGGTCGCTACGAAAAATAAAACATGAATCATAGCGATTGAATCGTTGACTGGGACGCGGGACAGCTGGTATTTTCCATAACCATTGTAGTCTCTGAGACAGGGCAAGCCATCGCTTCGTGGAAAATTTCTGCTGAATGCGATCCCCCTCCCCTTCAGAAGAGGGTATCGGTACGACCGCTTACTCGGAGGACATGGGATGATATCGAATGGATACGTGAATTTCAAGAGCTCGAACACATTCGGAATCTGGCGCTAGAGCACGCTTTCTTTCTGCGGTGGCATCGAAGATACTTCGCGGTGTCTTTTCAAAACTGGCTGGAGACTTCGAAAGTGCCACTTCTTTGAACATGCATAACTTCTTTAAAAGTGAAGCTTCTAAATAGGGGAAATTAGCATTGTGAAACTCCGGTTTCTATGTGTACAAATATGCTAGAGCGATTGCAACACCTTCTTCTTGAAGGAAAGTCTCCCGGTTGAGAGGCAGTTGCTGGATTTCGGTGTCACGTGCGAGTTAATGTTTGAACAGCCATAGCTTTTTAGACTTCTTGACTTCTTGTAAAATTAGGAGCACTGCCGGAAACTGGAAAACTTCCACTTTTTAGCGGTACCTCACTGTCTGCTGGGCCCGCTATCGAAAAAAAATCCCAGCTGTGTAATTGTTGTGACAGTTTAGGGCGGGACGAAAACCCACCGCTTAGGCGCACTACCATTTCCAGTTTGTTTGGAAACGCGCAATACCATTTCCAGTTTCTTTGAAGGCTTAAGTATGCTTCCAGCACGCATCTTTTCGCAAAATGTATGAGGGAATAGTTTGTTCGGCGCCGATCTCACCTCTTTAATGCGCTGTACATCCGACTCCGCGGAGATGTTGAAGAGAAGCAACTTCTAGATAAGGCTTCTTCGCGCAATCAGATGTGCTCCTGAAAGGTCCGGGCATATACTGCGATAGTTTGTTTGTCATGACGTCATTGCACATAATACCATGGCTCCTCCATGTACCATGAATTTGACGATACCTTTAGCGAGCATTTTGTCATTCCATCTGCATAATAGCGCAGGAGTTTATGCCTTGTAACAGGGTTTTGAGCGACTAGCAAAGGACAGGGGCCGGTGCAGCACTCAAAATGTACGCCAACGATTTCAGCAAATAGAAATTATCGGTATCGATTTAGCGTTCCCAGCGTATGCTCATAATACTCACGCAAAGTATAGACGCATTTCAAAGAATTTCAAAGGATCTCCGCAAACATTGTATGAAAATTTGCGGCACAAAACAAATCTCGAAATGTTGGAGAGCGGTGTGGGGTTTGGTTATTCATTTCACCAGTGGTGGAGAAATAAAAAACATATTTACATGACTGTAAGTGATGACCATGCACATCACTAAGGATGAGCCATGTGAAAAATGCAAGCATTAAGGTGCGCGAATAGGAATCGAAGAAGAATGACACAATTAACGTAAATATAGCACTGGGATCGTTCTCTTCGTTTGTCGATAAAAAACTCCTCATTTAGTCCTGACGTTGTCACCGTTCTTGAAAGTAAACAAATTCTTCATGCTGAAAAGGCAACTTACACTTTGCATCAGAAGCTGTTTCAAAAAATACGTTCGATAGAATCATTTCTTCGATCCAACCACTATTAATCCACGCTTGGCATCACGCCAGTGACTTAGCGACTTTTCTACGGTGCCGGATTTGATTGAAAATTTGTTTCCAGAATAGCTCGTCCTCTGTACACGAATATCACGCCCGCCTAGCCTGAAACTGCCTGGCAACCGCGCCACAGCTCTCGGTGCCGAAAATCTAAATCACCAAATGCGCTGAAAACTGTCCCTGTAGCTTATTCGACATCATGCTTACGTATGTGAAATTTATTCTTTGCAGCTGCGTTGATGGACAGCACTGCAATCATTTCCGTCTTGCAAAGATTGTGCCTGGCGTGAAGGGATTACTTTCCCCTGCCAAATCCAGCCTCAGCAGATCGCTTTATGGCGCTGATGACGGAAAGTAATTGAATGACCAGAGTATCAACAACCCATTCGCAAGTTTTACAGATGTGATTAAAAAAGGTGATTGGCACCAGATTGGCGCCTTATGGCACCAAGACTAAAAATTAATGTCATCTTCGTGATTATGGCAAACAATAGCCCCAGTATGCAAATTTACATCAATTTTGAGAGAAAAATGGTGGCGCTGAGTTCGCTCCTAGTGGCGCCAAACAACGCCATCGTCATCAGAAACGAGTATCATAGTTGTGGTCATTCATCGAATAAGCTGTACAAGCGAAGTTTCAGCAAAATATTTTTCACTAGTTCCCGGGGTAGTAATACTTGACTAGTACAGAATAATGTTGAGGTGCTGGTCGTGGACAGAGGGCACAGCATTGTTGGGAATTCCCTAATGGGGGTCGTATTTGATCGTTGAGGTATGGTGAGGGGGGGGTCGTCATGAGAGGGCCGTCAGTACGAATAGAGCGAAAGTAGCAATGTCTAGTTCTTGGTAGAAAACTCGCTCCATAGAGAACCTGCTTCTAAAAAACGTTGCAAAATATAAAATGATTGACTGATCTTCTAATAGATCAAAATAAGCCTGTCAGTACGAATATGACCAAAGCGTACAATCTAATAAGCGCACAAGAAGCCCATGTATTTATATTTCTAAATCATATGAAGACATCTGCTCGCGCGGACAGACACTACTTTCATATTTTGCCCACTGGTTAAAGCAAACAGTAACTATAGCATCGGTCCTAAAGGACTATATATACAGGTAATCGCATAGCATAATGAATGAAATGAGAATGAATTCACAGTTAGTTGACAATTCCAATAATCCTTCTATTCTATAAACCAGTAACTTTGTGTGTCGGTTTGTATGTATGTATGTATGTATGTCCGTCCGCAAAATGCTTCACGGGTTCGAGTTCGCTGGAGGCGAAAACGACCGCTAGGCAAACAGGCAAATCGGTGCGGAAGTATCAATCCAATGTTTTGATCGTGATATCGGCCTCCGCTATATAAGACAACCATTCGGTACACTCCGAGCCATTGCACGAGCTGCTGGCGTGGCAGCTGGACGTGTGCTCGTGCGGGGGCAGGGTGGGGTGGAGCCGAGGGGGGGGGCGCCGAGTGCCCCCCCCTGCTTCCTTCCCCTGCGCGTGCTCAGCCGGATCTGAGCATGTGCAAGGGAAGGAAGCAGAGCAGGCGGTCCGACTGGAACACTGGGGCGTTTGTTCCAGATATGATATGATATAGGTTATGGCACAGGAATATGTGGGTGACAAGAACTGCTAGCTGCTGATAAGATTTGATAAGGGGAGTTAGAATGGAAAGGACAACATACTCATAACGCGGGACATAGCATCAGTTAGGCGTTGATTTCAGCAAATGATATCAAGGGGAAGGTGGAGAAGGCGACGGCGGGTGACAGGAAATGATAACAGCTGATAGGGCCTGATAGAGAACGATGCAGTTGTTGTTCAATCAAATGCTGGAGCCTCTACACCACGAAATTATGGAGTTTTAGTGATAGCGACATTGATGACGGGTGACAAGCTTCTTCTTCTCCCTAGCGTTAGTCCCGCGCCGTCGCAGGGTCCGCTGTTCTTGTTAGACGTCGCCATTTGTTCCGATCCACTGCATCTTCTGCCGTGGCTTTCACTTCAGTGAGGTCCTTCTTGATGACGTCCCTCCATCTTTTCTTTGGGGCTCCTCGTGGTCGCTTGCCCTCTACTTCGAATTCCAATGCCTTCCTTATTGGGTGGTCTTCAGGCCTCCTCAGTACGTGCCCATACCATCGCAGTCGCTGCTCTCGTGCCTTCAGCTGGATCGGAGCCGTCTGTGTGACCGCCCTGACGTCCTCGTTTCTGACTCTGTCGAGTCGTGTCCAACCGCAGGCCCATCTCAGCATCCTCATTTCAGCTGAGTGGAGCTGCCTTTCATGGTTCTTGCAGATGGGCCAGCACTCACTGCCGTAGAGCATTGTAGGCCTTACCACCGCCCGGTACACCTTGCCCTTGAGCGTTCTCGAGCACCGCCGGTCGCACAGGATGCCAGTGGACTCCCTCCATTTCATCCAGGCTGCGTTGATTCGGGCTTTCACCGCCTGGTCCACGCTGCCATCAGCTGCTAGGTTGCTCCCCAGGTACTGGAAGTCCTCGACCCTTTCGATGCTCTCGCGGTCTACGATGG